GCCAAAGGCTGAGAAAGACCATAGCCTTCTAGAAATATATTGGATTTCTTACTGTTATTCAGAAATAAAAAGGATTTAACAAAAAAGAAAGGGGAAAAGTGTGTGTGCTTGCATGCGTGCATGAGAAAGATGGTACTGGATTTTTTTAGGTCTTTAATGACCTGGGAAAGTCAGGATGACTGATGGAGAAAAATATTGCCAATCATTCTCTGAAAAGCTCAAGCACCTCTACCCTTTTGAGTAGGAACTTGAAATGTTATAAGGGGTGACCTTTCATAAGAACAGCCATACTGGGGTGGACCAAAAATCCATCTAGCCCAGTATCCTGTCTGCTGACAGTGGCCTTTCTATCAGGAATTTGCCTTTAGTTACCCCCAAGGAAATCCATCCAATTTTAGCCAAGTTGTAAGTATCTGAAAAATTACAATTCACATATGCTCAGTAGAGACTGAGATTTTAGCAGCTAAATTCCACAGTGATTCTGTTCATGGTGAGCAGGAGGTTTCCTGCAACAGCATCTGTCAATCACTGCAGACATGTTCAGTTCAGGTCTGGCAATGCAACCATCAACAAAGAGCATTGCTCTGCTCTAAGTATCCCCAGGCCCTGGTAAGCAAAGCCAGCATTAAAGAGGAACCTGCCTGATTTAAATATAGAGGGAACAAGAACTGGATCTGCAGGACAGAGGGGAAAGTAGGAGGAGTTAAACCAAGAAGCCTAGGAGGAGGGAAATCTGGGATTGGCAGCTGTAATTGGAAAAGAGAAGACTAATAGTCGTGTGGGGAGGACCTGGGACTGGGAAAGGAAAATGGGGCTAACTGAACATCAGAAAGGAAAACCAAATTGGGTAGATGCGGGAGTGGGTGAAGGACTAATATTGGATGAGGAGCCACTGGGGTGGAGGAACAGAACAAAAAGGGGAAGGCAGATTTGATGTGGAGTCAGGGTGTGGGGGACTGGCTGAACAAAGAGATTGGGATATGGACTTAGGGGAAGACAACAGGGATTGGATAAAGAGGAAGGTTAGGCCTGGGAGCTGCCAGGGATGGGGACTATGGGCAAGACAGCTAGGAATGAGATACATATTGGATAAGGAGCTGGACAAGAGACTCTGAGACAGAGAAGTAAGGATAGAATAAGATGGGGAAGGAGACTGGGATAGGGACAATGAGATGTGGTGGGGAAGAGACAGGTCAGGAATAGGTTGGAGAGGATTAGGCAATGGGTCAAGTTTTGGGGTGGGGAAAACTGATAGAAGAGCACACTCCTCTCCAGAGGCTGGAATGGAACCCTGAGCTGGGAGCCCTCATGTCAACAAATATCTGTGGAAATTCTGACAAAGTGTCCTGTCTTCATGTAATACTTGTCAATGGAGATGAAAACAACCTGTTACCGAAATCAGTTATTCCATTAATTCAAGTAGCAAAGGGTCTGTATAGTGGAGTTCAAGGTTCCAGCTCTGCTGGTGACTCACATAAATGTCAACATAATGACACAGGATGGAACTGGTTTTTTCAGTTTGCATTTTTTTTAAATAATAAAAATACACATTAAAATAATATTGAGGTCAAGCTCTTCTAAAACAGGAAATATAGGTACAGTATTAAGATTGCCTGTCCATATGTGTATTTATTATTATGTAGCCTTTAATTACATGATCATACACTTTGTGCTAGAAGAAGCTCCCTATAAACCTACAAACCTAACATTAGCTTCCTTCAAAACTCTCCATAAAACTCTCCTTTGTCAATAGACTTACATAAAATTGACAAAAGGTATGCTCTGACCAATACTGTCTCACTATCTTCTTGTAAAATAGTTGTAGAGATGCTGCCGTGTCAGTTTGGTGTAGCTGAAACAAAAGACAGAACTATGTAGCACTTTAAAGACTAACAAGATGGTTTATTAAGTGATGAGCTTTCATGGGCCAGACCTACTTCTTCAGATCAAGTTGTGAAAGAAAATTGGCACAATCATATACACCAAAGTGATACAATCAAAAAAATGAACACATATGAAATTGACAAATCAAGTTGTAGCACAGGGAGAGGCTACATGTGAGAGAGTCTTATGTCTGTTTTGTGAGCATTGATTCTTTGGCGAGGTGTCTGAGAAGTTTGTCCAATGTACATAGCAGATGGACACTTTAGGCACATGATGGCATAAATTATATTTCTGGATGAACAGGAATATGTGTTCTTGATTGTTTGCCATTTCAGCCAGACTGACCATTCCCTCAATGACCTTAAAAAAATGCATATTGCTTCAAAGGGATTTTAACTCCACACTTCAAAGAGATGCTTCAGAATTGTCAATCATGCTTAAATTTGACACTTTATGTATGGGTCTCAACAAACACTCTAATTATCTCACCCATTACAAAGATTGTTCTATCTGCTTCCCAAAATTCATAAATCTAGACACCCCGGACGTCCCATCATCTCTGGTATAGGCACGCTCACTACTGGTTTATCCAGCTATGTAGACTCTCTTCTCAAACCCTATGCAACCAACACCTCCAGCTATCTCCGAGATACTACTGACTTCCTAAGGAAACTACAAAACATCAATAACCTCCCTGATAACACCATCCTTGCCACCATGGATGTAGAAGCTCTATACACCAACATCCCACATGAAGACGGATTACAAGCAATTAGAAACACTATCCCAGAGGACAACACTGCCAATCTGATAGCAGACCTATGTAACTTTGTTCTCACCCACAATTATTTCCAGTTTGACAACAACTTATACCTCCAGATTAGCAGCACAGCCATGGGTACACACATGGCCCCACAGTATGCTAATATCTTTATGGCTGACCTAGAACAACATTTCCTCAACTCCCGTCCCCTTTTACCCCTTCTCTACTTACGCTACATCAATGACATCTTTATGATCTGGACGCATGGCCAAGAAACACTGGAGACATTCCACAGAGATTTTAACAACCTGCACCCCACCATCAATCTCAGCCTGGACCATTCTACACGAGAGATCCATTTCCTGGACACCACAGTACAAATCAGGAATGGAAAATTAGACACCACCCTCTGCAGAAAATCACTGACTCATACAGTTACCTACATGCTTCCAGCTCCCATCCAGCACACACAATACGATCCATCATCTATAGCCAAGCCCTTCGATACAACTGCATCTGCTCTAATCCCACTGACAGAGACCAGAAACTTCAGGATCTCTACCAAGCATTTATAAACCTCAACTA